AGAGAGAGAGAGAGAGAGAGAGAGAGAGAGAGAGAGAGAGAGAGAGAATAGAGAGCATTCGTTTTTTTGTGTAACGATTTTGTAAAATACAGCCGTACTGACGACTTGATCTATTTTTATTTCCAATTTATTTAGGACGCGCGCAAAAAGTGCGTATTCGGGGAGAAGGGATGGGCAGCAACTGGAAGGTTTTTAACGTTTGTGGAAGCGTCAATATTCCAGATTAGAAATGTCAATATCAATTTAACAACCTCGACAACGCATCTCGTTGTGTGTTCGTATATTTTGTTTACAAGTGAAAATCATTTCAGAACGAACGAACTCTCGCGGATGAGTGCAGGAAAAACCCAGAAATTAATTAATTTATAGAGGTTAAGAGACAATCCCGTAATTCGATGATTCGTGTAATGCAGCCGGCGTTCCGTAATGTCGGCGCTTTCAGCTGAAATCGATGGAATAATGGAATTCGCTTGAAATTCACCGGGATCGTTCCCGTGACCGATGCATCCCAATTCCGACATTTTCCGCCATCGTTATACTAGCCGAAACTACTAAACCAATTGGTCGGGGCCAGCGCGGAGGTGCAATCTAAACTTTCGAATTCTACGAACGAGTTGCAACCCTTGAGGCCCTCGTAGCAACGCTCTCATGGCCCCGTCCGGGATCGCGTAGCCGACCAGATTAATTTTACGAAATATCCGAAAATTACGACAAAAGCCACGGCGATTTAATTGACGTGGGTAAGTTTGAGGAGCGGACGCCCCATATTCCGCAACTTTCCAATTAATAATGTCAAGAGGTTTTCAGAACGCAATTATAATCAAACGAGAAGAGTGGAAAGAAATCAAAGTGGGAAAGTCTGTTTTCTCTTCACTGAAAGAAAAGAATGTTAATCTTACTATGAATTATACAGTCATTTTCGCCGGCCACATCTTCTTGTTCTAAGAGAAGCAGTAGTAACGGCATTGCACGTAAGTGCATTAATCGATTAAAATTTTATTTGACTAAAGTCATCGACGAATTAATTATCAAAATAAATTAATCTTTATAGTACTCCATTCTTTTTCATGTAATCACGAATAACTTAATCGACTGATAAAGTTTGTTATTAATCAGTGTACAGTTCATCAATGGATAAAAAAACACATAGCCTAATATAGAAAAACGCGAATCTGACCCAGTCTTCATTACCGAATCTCAGAATCACTCTTTATTAGGCTAAGTGTGGCAATACAGAGTGATCTGTCGACTAAATTTTATTTGACAATGTGTCAAACTGAACGAGTATCTATGTGTGTTCATTCAACTGTTCCCTTGTTTTTGGAATGAAGTAATAAACTCAGGTTTCATCGATGGTTATAAATCGATGCTAAAAGTCCTTCAGACAACGGCGATATCATATCAAAAAATGCAAGAAACAATAAAACTGTTCAGTTCAGTCTTTGCCGGTGTGACTAAACGCAGGAGTCATCACTCGCAGAATTTGCTCTGGTGAATTGTCAAACAAAGACCAATCGACAGGTCATTCTGTTATACTTAACCTAATAAAGGATGACTCTGAAACACGGTAATAAAGATTTGGCCAAATTCACGCTATTCCTGGATTAGATCACGTATTTTTTAAACGATATAATCAGTTCAATCAAAGTGATGATTTGATTAATAATTAATTTCATCAATCGTTTAAATTATACGTGATATTATGTTTAATTAATTTTGTTTATTGACTTGTCGATTATTTTAGTCAATTGACATTTTAATCGATTAATCCCCAACAGTGACGCAAAGTTATTATCAGCAACAATGCAGCAGCGGATTACCTGGTTATGAATATTTCACCATGTTTTATTTATAGATTCACAAGTACCAAACATTTTTATTCTTAATATTACATTAGATAATGAACAAACTGCAAAGGTGAGTTGAAAATACTTCTCATGAAAGAGCGACCACGCGCAGTCCCTCGACAGCGATAATCTAAATTTGATTAGTTTCCAGAAATAGAATCCTCTTTCGTTTCTCATTTCACGTAAATGGCGCGTAGCGACAACTTTCCCTCCCACCTTCTCCTCCGCGTTGATAGCCGATCAACTCGGACGAGTCGCGCGGGCTCGAGCAAAAAATTGCCGTAGGATGCTGCGATGAGTAGCGGGCCGATTTACGGATTTACGCGCCCTCGTGTTCCCCGGGGAACGGCGTAGTTACGGAGAGCATATCACGAGACGCGCTTCAGACGAACCCTCTTTCGAGGGAGAAAGGATCTCGCACATTCGCGTGCGCGCATTCGCTCTGCGCTCTTTACTCAACGACGAAAATAAGTGACGGAATTAAAGTACCAGCGTCTCTCTCTAGGAAGCGTTCGCTTCATGTCGCGTCATCTCCGGTATCACTTCAAGTGCCCCTTTCCATCACCTATGCTTTTAGCAAAAATAAATAAAGGAAGAAAGACAAAAAGTGCGGTATGTACGCGAATTAGTAATAATGCTGTGAAACGTTTAACGCTAGAGAGAGAGAGAGAGAGAAAAAGAGAAAGAGAGAGGGGAGAGAGAGAGAGAGAGAGAGAGAGTTTTATTAATGCCCTGGGGTATAAAAACCCCCTCGAGCTTACAGATATCTCAATAAATGTTTGACAGCTGGAAGAACGTGATAAACATAACAAACTACAGAGATTATTATATAAAAAGAATAATACAAAGAGAAAAGCAGTGAAAAGATGTCGCAAGCAAATAGAAAATAAATGTAGCCTACAATATATACCACAATATAAAAATCCATTGCTAAGCTAGAGTCCGGCAATGTATATATTAAGCTATATAAGAATAATTCAATTTGAAAAAGATTTTACTACAACTGAAGATTATAATAATAGAACGTTATCCATCCCGCACGCGAACAAAATATAACTTAAAGGACGGACCTGAACCTAATAGTTCAAGAGACAGAGAAAAAGAGTGGGATAAAATCAATTTTTGCAATATCATGTAAAATTACTTAACAGAGAACAAAGTTCACAGATCCGAGTAACTCTGCCGTTAACAATCTACGTGCAATAAAACCGTTGTAAACAAAGTTGATAATGCGACCCGATTAATTTTAATTTACACTGAATACGATCTGTGTGCTTTAATATGCGAGCTGCGCTTTCGTGCACTGCAGCCGGCCGCGAAAGGAAGCCTTTCAACGCTTTACCGCACACTAGTCACTTGGGATGAAATATTGTTTACACGCTTCCCACTGGATTATGCATCCCGGATAATCACACGCGGTGAATAAAACAAGAGAATCTGTTTCTCCCTCTTCTTTTTCTCTCTCTCTCTCCCCCCTCTTTGTAATATTGTATACATCGCTGTTTCCCAAGTTTGTGCCTGTTCTCCGTTTCGAGATGTTGGCAACAAATTAAAGAGCGTTTGTATTATTTAAAGACTGCTCGAAGTGACAATTACGCTTTAATAAATAACAAGTAAAAGATTAGTGATATTTATCGAAAGATATACTTTCTTAAAATAAATTAGTAAAAAGATCTCTAACTGAATCAAAAGACTGTGTTTCATCAATCACCAGTAAATGTCAATTGATTTTCCGCGAAAACTTTGCTGCTCCGTCTAACTTCTCACTGATATCAATCAGTGGAAGCAAGACTTTACTGCAAAATCTGTAAATTTGCAAACTGTACGCGAATTTGCTATACGTTATGCCAAATCCAACTGTTTGCGTTTCTGACGATGGAATCAACGCGCTCCTATGCGCCCTGCGTGCGGAACGGACACTGTTCGTGTTCGCAAAGTGCATCCATAATGG